TTTTAAAAAATATATTTTTACACGGACGGAGCCATTTTATTTACACAAAGCATTCTGGGTAAATGATGACGTGGATAGGTCCTCGGTATGAGCGAGCTATATCCACCCTGAAGGTTAATCTTGGACAATATCTGATGATCGACTCTTTTAAATGAAACCAGAGAGCGTTGACAGAGAGGAGAAGGTAGAAATGACTCAGCCTGAAAATATGGATGGAGGACAACAGAGCTGCTTCATAGAAGAAGAACCTCAGCTTAGCCTGTTAGCCTTTGCACTAGCGCGGACACTATATTGCCTTATATGTATTAGCTCGGCGCTAGTGCGACAAACAAGCTAAACTGAGGTCCTCCATCCATATTTTCAGCTGCAGGCTGAGTCATTTTTGTGTTCCCCTCTTTGTCATGTGGATGGAGGACCTCAGTGACGAGAGGAGAATGTGTAGCGCTGAGCTATTACATATATATGGTGATAGCGTAGGGGCTAAAGCTAACAGGCTAAGCTGAGGTTCTTCTTCCATGAAGCAGCTCTGTTGTCCTCCATCCATATTTTCAGTTCCAGGCTGAGTCATTTCTACCTTCTCCTCTCTGTCAACGCTCTCTGGTTTCATTTAAAAGAGCCGATCGTCAGATATTGTCCAAGATTAACCTGCAGGGTGGATATAGCTCACTAGCAGCCTCGCACCGAGGACCTATCCACGTCATCATTTACCCAGAATGCTTTGTGTGTAAATAAAATGGCYCCGTCTGTGTAATATATTCTTAAACTTTTAGTTTAAAAATGATAAAAACTAAACAGCCTACAGTATTTTTACAGTCTTTATTTTACAGTTAAAATATATGTTTATTAAATAAAGTACAATGTTACAACTAATCATGGATCCCTTTAAGAAAAGCTTTGGAAAACACACTATATTGAAAAAAACATGAACATGCTGCAAAATATCTAACTTAGTAAGCTGATTTAGGATTTTGAAAATGTTCATAAATTCTTAGTTTATGAAAGATGATTCGACAACTGAACCTTGGGACACTAGAAGAAATAGGTTTACAGGAACTCAACTGAATCCTATTTAGTCAGAACAGATGATTGTGAATTCTGCGATAAAACCTGAGTTACTCAGGCTGGAGATTGATAAAAAAGTGCTYGGAGCAAAAAGACGGGGCTGACTGGTTCTCACAAGCAAACTTCAGTACCCGAAGCAGTGAGTAATTTCTTAGCTGGCTGCAAAGATCAGAGACTCAGGTTCAAGAACACAAGCTTACACCTCAAACGGCAGCAAACTTTCTTTAAACCCCTTGATGTCTGGATTCAAGGCTGGTCTACGCTGACACCTGCAAAAGCAAACAAGTCTGTGTTGACAAGGCTTGTCCCAGAGACAGCTCTCTCCTTTATTCTTTCCCCCCACTTTTCTTTCTATCTTTCAAATAGTGGGGAAATACAGTCTGTCTGACTGAAACAGCACTGTGTGAATATGTGCAATAAATCACAACAGCCTTCCTCCTTTCAAAGGCAAACTAAAGACGTGTCTTTTATTCCAGGCCAAAATTGTGACATTCAAGGGAAATTAAATTAGTCAACTTCAAAAGAGGAGGCAAGAGGAACGTGTGAGTGAAGAGTGACCTAAACGAACACTTCTCAGAGCTGATGGTTGGAAAAATAATGAGGGAGAAAAGGCAAAAATTAAGAATTAAACATTGCATAATTAATCATTGGACGAGAGATAAGCCATGTGACAGACATGAAGTAACAAAAGCAGAGAAAACCCTAAAATGATCAATGAAGAGACAATTATAAACATACAGAATTTGCAAGGTTTACACAATGAAAGAAAGCCAGTTGGTGTGTATCATTAAACTTTCAGGATCATGTAAGAGTCCTCCACTAGACCCTGATGCTTTCTTGTGTTCCTGCTCTGTGTGGGGTGAAACGTCTTCCTATCTTCATGTACTGTTGGCTGGTACAGAGCGGTACCCCCATCACTTGCAGATATGAAGAAAATACTCCCTTAAGCCTCTTTTTCTATCTCCACAAATGAGATTCATGAGCCTGCAGCCATTCTAATACCACAAAAGGGACTGTACATGCACTTAATGTTGATACTAATTACAACAACATCCTTCTCTCAGTCTGATGGTTGCTGAGCAAACACATTTTCATTGATCTCTTAGTGCTCCAAAATAYGAAGTGATCATTTTATAAAGAATTATTTGCTTTGAGAATGTGCAAATGTCTCAATCTCACTGAAACGTTGGTATTTATCTTCAGATTTTTCAAGCAGGGTGCAGTGATTTTACCATTTTATAAATAAATATATACACATTAAAACACCAGAAGTCGTTATGGTTCATCTCCACCATGYTGTCTTCATTTGACTTTTAGAAATGCTACAGATTTTGGTTTTCAAAGCACATAGATAAAAAAAAATCAAATCCCTTATTTTACTAGAAAAGCCAATTCTACTATCAAACACTGTTTTAAAAAAAAATTAAAATCAGTGACAACTGAAGCAAAAATAATTGACTGTTGATGATGATTCATCATTTACAGTAGAGATGCTTACCATAGTAACAATAAATATCAAATATAAATTTCCAAACTATTTACAGTTCAGAAACAGAAGATAAGTCTTTWCTTGGCTTTGCTTAAAGGGGAAATATGCAAAATTCATRTTTTTTAGAYGYTAAATACATTTTGTTGTGTACCTGGAGTCTCTAGGAAAGCATACAATTTGAATTTAGTCTCTCTTGGTGCTGTGTAGATATCTTTATATTCTGTCTGGGTCATATTTTTCAACCCACAACAAAATGGCTTAAAACACCTAAAAAAGGGTGAAARRGGGATTTKTGGAGGTTCAATGAGAAGGACTTCAGACCAAAGTGTTGTGGTTCCACTTTATACTGAAGGATTTAAATGTGAAAAAGAAGTATTTAAAAGCATGRTACATCTTGGTCCAGTGAAATTTGAAGYGATGTTTTAATAATTATTATTTTATCAGCCATGACATCAGTTATAAAGTCAGGAGTCAGCAGAACGAGGCAAAACTCTTAGCTCAAGTTAGGCAAATGGATAGCCAAATGAGTGCTTGTTTTCTATCAGTTTTTAGGCTTATAAAACTATCTCAGGAATGACTAACTAACTGGTATGAAACAATGCTACATATGATAACCTCTACATGTTTACGTGACACAGAACGTGTGGAGCACAGATGCATCATGCATAGGTCAATGATGTTTACTAAGTCCACTCTTAATAAACAGACTTATGTTTTCATCAAGTTGTCTGTTGTGTTTACATTGTGACATATTTTCTCATAAGATATTGACAATTACTTTACAAATGCCCAAAACAGTCAATAGATAGAAAAGGTTACCACAGAATTTAGATGTTTTTTTAATGCTTCTTTTTTTTCAGACACTTCGGTCAAGGAATGATTGGAATCCTTACTGCATAATAAAATAAAGTCAGCCAATCAATTAATTTTACTCTGCCTGTGTGTGTGTAATTTAATTCACGGCCTGAGCTTGTGTAAGCAGCRAGCAGTAAAAAGCGTGGCGTAAAAGGCTGCAGAGCATGTCAGTGTTTCTTTAACTTCAGCGTTAATCATTCTCTTTCTGCTGCGCTCTTTAAGCAGGAGGAGCGCTCCACCCCGTGCACCCGTCGCCCCTTCTTCAGAGCAACAGCAAATGCTAATTGCACTTGCTACACTTGCGTCTTCTAAAAGGCTAATATGAAAGTGTTTTTTTTTTCAAGCTACTGAGCAATCATGTAAGTAGCTTCTYSATAATGTCATCAAAATTAGGAGGTRTTTCAAAGCATTTTMTGTAGGTTAGATTTTGATCAAATTACCAATTTAAGACTCAAATGTTACTCAGTCCGTGAAAAGACCAATTAGCTGTGGAGGGTGCTTGAACTAGTCTTCTTTGCACAGCTTTTCAAGCAAGAATCTACAAGTTTAGGCATCAGTGTTAATGTTGTCAGAACATGTTTGCAAAAAAGAATAACCCTTCCCCCAACCCCACCCAAGCCCCATGTCCAGCGAGCGGTACCTGTGAGGGATTTAGAAGTGCAGTCCTTTCTTCCGTCGGGACCTGATCCAGTGCCACTTACAGAGCCCTCGTAGCTAATGCAGTCATAACAAAGCAGAGCTGTTCAAGGATAAAAAAAAGAAAAAAATATATAAAGAAAAAGGGGACTATAAAAAAATAAAATCCATGGTTGCTAATTGATTTTTCTCCCTGCTAAAGGCTTTGTATTGATTTATTTTGTTGAAATTTGAAGTGTATTTGTATTCAAAAGGCTTATCTTTTCTTTTTTAAGGAACAGCCCTGTTTAATGTTATGGCTGTGTTAGCCATGCTCAAGCTCTCAGATCTCATAGACTGCCTGCACCTACATGCACCTGCWTAACCAATCATGCCCCCCCACCCCCACCCCACTTCAAGAGAAGCTTAGGTATCAACTTAGTTTAAAGTGGCAGGAGTTGGATCAAAAACAGCAAAACAGTAGCCCGGACACCTGTGAAATGAACGCAGCGGATGCATTAACAGAAAGGAAGAAGAAAAGGAAGCCTAAACAAAGAGTTTAAAGCAGCAGCAGGACTATCACTACCTTGACAGAGACCCACAGTAGCATTCGTTAAAGCTGGAAGAACAAGCACTTGGGTTAGTAAAGCAAAACAGAAACACATGGTTTTGGTTTAATTGTGTTAAAAGGTAGGCATTGTCAATGAAGGCGCTCTTACATGATAACAGCTGAAAGATAGATTTAAACAAACATTTGTCTGTCTTTTTTTATCAAACTATTCTCAACAGGCAAAGATGAAGGTATGGTCATTCTAAAGTTAAAACATCCTGAAGTTTACAAAAGAAGAACAAATGTTGCAAGTTTATCTTTAGATTTTTAGCAGTGCTCTAGCCCCTATCTACATCTACAATCAGCAGCTTATGTTTAGGTTTGTTTTAAAACACCATGATCTGGTGTARAAAGGTTTGACGCTCATACCTGCAAAGGCTTTAGAAATCCTCTCCTTCTTCCACTCCCACGGCTGGTCGTACTCCTCAGGGGGTCGCTCGTCATCTTGGGGCAGTCGACTCTCCCTGGGACAGCGTAGGCGCTCGGGGTCCGAGTCCCCTCCGTTCTCGGCTGGCTCGTACGGCGTGTCATACAGAGGCAGCTGCTTGACAGACCCTTCCTTAGAGCCTCGACCACCAGACCTGATTTCTACAGCGGAGAGGAAACACCGTTGGTTATTGTTGAGTTTCTGAAAGAAAACTCTCAAGGTTAAATTGAGTGAAAACGCTCCTTTTAACTTGAAGCTTGAGCGTGCTCATGAATGGTAGTTTTATTGAAAATAAACATGGTTTACAGTTTTCATTACAAATTTGGTACTTCATGGAAATTCATCTTTGTYTTAGTAATTTCAAAACATTTAGGTAAAACATTGGAACACTCTGGAAAGGCAGTGAACGATAGTGACAGTATGTGTTTGATTGTTTTATGAAAATAAAGCATGAAGGTTGAAATAAAAGTAAATGGAGAAGATGACATGCAGAGGCAATCAAAAACTTGCCCTTGGAACACGTCTACTCTATCAGAACTAAAGCTTCAAGATATTAAAAAATCTTTCCATGTGTAACATTATTGTTTAATGTTGTGAAAACAATATGAATTGTATAAAAGCCCCCATTTCCTAACTCTTCACTTTATCTTCTGATTTCACATATCATCCAAATGAGGTGTGGGAACCAAGGCCATTGCATTGACTAAATATAAAACATAAATGCATGGTACTTGAAATATAATTGATTTCTGGTTTATTGCAGTCCTGTGAGATATTGTTATTGTATTTGCTTAAATTTTAATGCTAATAAATTGTGAATCTTAAAGAGGGGTATATGCATCTCAGTAATCCAGGTAGAAAAATCTCCTCAGACTTAAAACGTTTTTTTCAACAAAGAAGTCGTTTTTCAGAGGAAATATTCAACGCTTTTTTTTAATCCAGGCACACAGTTCAGTTCTATACCACCTTCAGTGCTGTATATTTCATTTTTTTAAATTTTGCATCATTGCATAAATCTAAATGCCTTGATATCTGCCTCAGTCTCTTTAAGATCCTCAGACCATTTCTGACACTCCCACTTCAGCACATATTCATAACAGTGCTTCAGGGGAGGGGTGCTCTGTGGGGCGGGAGCTCTGCTGCAGCGTGAGCTCCAGGGAGGAGCTATGTACAAATAGGCGGAGCTTTGTACCAGCAAGCGTTCAGGCAGCTCCACATGGCTACGACAGGAGATTCAAGGAATTCTCAAACATTCATGATTGAGTCAAAGCACCACCCTGGGTATGTCTTTCATGAGGGAATGACATAACATGATAAAGCTAAAAAAAGTTGATTTTGCACAATATCCACCCCCCGTGCTTAACAAATAAGGATCAAAAATCAGCAACAGCATTACGTTGATAATGAGGGAAAATGGGCCAATACTTTAAGCTTTTAAGAGCCTAAATCACATTTAAATAAGGATGAAAAAAGAACACATTTACAAATCCTTCTCTGCAATTTAAAGTGCAAACGACTCTGAAACTTTGACTCGTGCCAATTCTTCAAGGTTAGAGAGGCCAAAGGAGAAATTACGAGTATAAAAATTCAGCATGAAGAAAATGTCCTCTATCTATGTAGCTGCGCAAAAAAAAAAACTGATGTGGGCTTAATGGCTTTTCACTTTATGCAATCTTCACACAGCAAAGAAGGAAACCCACATGTTTTTAAAAAAATGCTCTGCGGAACAAAAACAGCTTTTGGACCTTTTCCAAATCTCGTTCTTATCGGCAGCTGCAAGTTTTGAACTGTCCACATTTATTTTTTTTACTATAAACATAAAAAATATCACCAAAAAAGATAGGGACCCCCTTGAAGGATTTCTGGACGCTGCACAGTATGAGATATTTACACCTGTGCAGGAGCCAGGCTTATCACTGACACTTCAAAGGTGGTTTAAAAGGTGCTTTCATGAAAAATGGAAAGTGACATTTTTTTAAACGTAGCCTTAAATGAGTTTCTTAAATATGACTCAATTACATTTCTTCACATWAATACTGAAAGTGAAGCCCTGAATCATGATCCAACCGTGTATTTCCATTCTCGTCTTTCTACTCATGTTGGAAATTGACGTAGCATCACCGGACCAAAACTAGGATGCACCCACACCTCTCCCACTCCATGTAAGCAGGTAAAACAGACCAGACTGCTAATGAAGCGCCGTGCCCTTGAGAACTCTCCTCCTCTTGCCCTCCCACCACATCTTCATCCTCCCTTCTCCAGTCTCCCTCTACTAATATGAAGTTGTTAGCAGCCCGCACCCTTTCTCCGGGGCCGCATGAAGCTGTTAGCGACCAGCGCCATCATAGAGCAAAGCAATGCGAAGAGAATGAAATATTATGCCACACTGCTGCATAATTGCCTCTTAACCCAAGGGAGCTCTTGCGGAAAAATGAGCAATGCGTTGAGCCTAATGGAGCTACCCGGTGCTGGGGGTGGCGGTGGTGGAGGGGTGAAACGAGGGGAGGCTGCAAGGCTTCACATCGCGGTGTAATCCTGCATTAGATCAATATGAAGTCTTTGAGCTGATCAGTTAAAAGTCAACATATATTCAGATTGAGGCATGATTAGGTGGCATCATCTGTGAGGGAAAAAACAAGTAAATTAAGATTTTAAAAAGGAGTTAAAGTAGGGGGTAAGAAAGGTAATATCGCTGCTGTGATGAGCAACTGGTTTGGATACAATTGTTTAACTGGATGGATGTTGTCTATGATAAATTGTAGTGAAACTCAACTTGAAAATCAACTATTTTTCACTTGCAGTGCTATATATGTCTTATTTTGTAGAGGTTTGGGGTAACGTTTATAAAACCAATTTAGATCCAATAGTTAAACTTCAAAAAAAGAGTAATTAAATTAATAAATAATGCTGGGGTTTTTTGATTCCACAAACCCACTATTCTTAAAGTCTTCTGCTTTAAAATTTTGTGATATAGTGTAAGAACACTGGAGTTCCTACATCGAGTAAGAAAAAATAGTCTTCCTGATGGTATTCAAAGATTTTTTTTAAGTTACGGGAAAATAATTTTAATTTAAGGGGGTTCTTTATTTTTGAAGTACATAAAGTACGAACAAATATCAAATACAGATGTGTTTCAGTATTGGGTGTTAAWTTGTGGAATAAATTAAGTGATGAAATTAAGTTTAGTGACTCTTAAGTTTCAAAAAGAAGYTAAAAAGTAAACTATGAGTTATGGTTTGTAGTAGTCATTTGTGATGATGGTGGTGATAATATATTGCATTTTTTTGCATGTACAGACAATAATAATGATATTGTTGATAAAAAAAACTGTACTAATGATTTGTATTTTTGTATATAAAATGGTGTATATAACCAGGATGTAGTTGAAGTATAAGTGTGTTTTTTGTGTATTTTAAATCGGGGAATCCATTACRAATTGTAAGGTGAGACACAACAAGCCATTGGCTTCTGCCACTACCTATTTGGTCTTATAGGGTTAAAGTTTAGTTTGTTTTTGTGTGGAGTGTTCTTTAATGTGACAAAATAAAATCATTCATTCATTCAACTTATAATCTCTTAAAATCAGCACCTTGGTGGACTTTGCTGACCATTACGGAGTGTCAATCTTTAACTAGCTCATGATTCAATTTTATTCTAATTTTCTAAGACATGGCTAAACAAAATCCATTTTTGATTCAAAACAGTTTGATTCATATCACTTCAATCTTTTGGTGAGCAAAGGATCCTGGTGATCTACCCCAGTCTGCGAAACTTACATTATGTCAAGATCGGTCTTCCTGGGCATTCAGTAAAAACCAATGAAGKCTGGGTCGATTTTTTTAGCGCACACCAACTGACCATATTCTGTTTGTCACACCATATTCCCGTCATACTGTTTTCACGTCCAACATCCCGTCCTCTCTCACTTCMATGATTTTTGCATTTCACTTGAGGCGTGTTTGAAAACTGGGTGGGGCCAAATATGTCCAGGCAAATTACAGTGATTGACATAACTCTGGGATTGTATGCTGGAGCACAGCTGCAGTCTGTCTTCTGTCTTCAACCTCTACCCTCTGTCAGGGGTCAGAGGTCAAGCAGCACACCCTCCCCTTAATGTACCATGTACCATCCCCTCCCCGGATGTCCTGGAGTTCCTTTCCAGATGCTGCATTTCCTCTTTTTTTACTCTTTACAACTCCTATAATCACGGTTGCCAACAGCAAATAAAGTCTGATTTATTTCCTTTGTCACTCATGTACTGAATATTAGACAAGGAAAGAAGACATTCCAGGGTTTTCTCACCAAATAAAAGAGTGTACTGTTAACAGATTATGTATGCTTCTCTTTATATCCTAAACATGAAATGTAACCAACAACTGGCCGATATTCATTGAAACAAATTAAAAGTTACTACTACTGCACTAAAAAATGGGAGCCCTCTGGGGATATTACTATATGATGAAGCCTGGACAAGCAGGGAGCTCTGGATTAAATCAAAGAACATTACCAGCAACCAATCTGGCAGCTGCATCCTTCTGCACCAAACTGCATAATCCTCATCATCCAGACCGCTCCAGTCTGGATTGTTCTTGTTTTCCCAATATTGCCAACCACTTGATTGCATTTACAACAAAGCGGTAAACGAGTGCATATCTGTGTTTTGATTGTAATCCTTTGATTACGTTCAGCAAGAACACATTTATCTGCTGCCCGGGTTAATACCCACTAGCCTCTGCTTTCTGAAACAAAAATAATTGACTTTTAGGAGCACAGGGAGTATTGAGATTTGATTGGGAGATTCTCTTGTGGACTAGTAAAGGATTAAATGTCTTCACACTCCTGGAAAAAAAAACATTGGACAAAAAAAAAAAACAGAATTCAAGAGCTTTAACTTCATTCCCAACCAACTTAATCCATTCTGGAGAATAGAATAGAATAGAATAGAATAGAATAGAATAGAATAGAATAGAATAGAATAGAATAGAATAATTTTTGCATATTTCAGTATTAGAAACGTGAAAATCAACTGTCAAAAACAAAGATGCATGTTTTGGTGTCTTGAAATGAATAAATGACACTGAAAATTCACTTTAGAAATAAATATTTGTGAATTAAAGTAAAGAAAGGCATTTTCTAATTCTACTTTTGCAGGTTGACTTCA